CACCGGAAAACCCCTCCGGTGTGAGAGTTCTTTGTAGGTGCACGACGTTCAACCGGCAAGAAGGAAGGCGATTACTCAAGTTCCAGCCGGCCGAGGAGTTTTGTGTTACCAAATAATAATTTTCATAAGAGAATTCATTTCTCTAGGAAGATTGCAAATTTTGGGAATATTTGCAAGATCTTAGTTTATTATTTTGAAAGAACAATTATATTGTTAGTCTTAACATTTTTATTTCTAACAACTCATTTTGCCGATATTTCATGATATTTTTTATAGCATAACATCCGGTAAGTTTATCATCAGTTCATTTTCTTGTAGTGTTAATTATTATCTCAAAATTTTCTTTCTCTTAATTTAATAAGAAAATATATACACAATCACTTAGAATTTTTCTCCATTGAATACAATATATATATTTATATTGCTTGAATGATGAAAACAAAGATGAATTTGTGGATTTCATGAAATATTTGATTCAACAGGACACGTCGGCAGTATAGATCAATTTGAAGATTTTTTTATTTTCACCAACATTTGGTACTTTTCGTTGATAAAAAATACTCCCTCCTTTCTAAATATCATTCTAGCTTTATCAACTATTTGCTAAATAAATGTCGTCTGAGATCTTTTGTACATATTTTCTATTATTACCCTCATTTATCTAATAAATACATTACGACTTTTCATATTCACTCTTCACTTTTTCTCAAAACATTCATCTATATCTTCAATAAGATAAGGGTATTATTGAAAAAAAAAATTCTTAATTAATGTGCAACTTCTTAAAACGACATCTATTAAAAATAGGAGGTAGTAACATTCATCATTATAAAAGATATAATTTTTCTGTGGGTAAATAAACTGAAACTAAGCGAGCCAATATCTAAAACAATTAGCATGGGCCGGTCGTGTTTGCAGGGGCCACCACAATCCCGTTACGGAACTACTCTGTCGAAATTTTTAACTGTAAATTATCTATATATCTACGCTAATCTAAATGGTGTATGTACGATTAAAAATCTCGACGTAATAGTTTATCATCACTGCAGTCAGTCCTTCTATTTCCCTATATGTAAGAGAGATATTTATATAATGAAATCTAATTCTTTGATATGGCGCACCTCTCATTATTACCAGATGAAAAAGTAGAATTCATACCATATTTTAGTGTAAAATGTCCCTGTCCGATACTTTAAATGTCACACATGGAGCAACTGTTGCTTATAGCAAGCATCTTTATAGCAAAAGGGTCCAGCCGTAGCTGCCTCTACAGTTGTTCCCTTGCCCGTTGGCCACTATTTTTGCGTGCAATATTAATGGTTGGTGCCTGCACCATAAATGCAACCCAACAAACTACACGGGTTGGTCTCTAACCTACCTCTTCTAAAATGAATGTAATTACTCAATGCTTTTCAAATTATGAATGAATCTTTATGAGACGTACGTTTGAACATGATCGCAGAGAGATCGAGCTGGGTGAGAAGAAGAGCTTCTCAATATTGAAACTATGAACACTTCCGTTACGATACAAGTTAAAGTCTATAAACAAAAGTATCAATTTAATCGTCTGTATGGATCAAAAGCTCGGAAAATTTTCAATTTTTCGTCCGTTTACTTGTCTAAAGTCCTTTTTTTTGGTACAGTGACTTTTCCTTCATCAATAACAGTATGTTATGTTGCAGTTTGTACAATTTTTTGGATAATTACTCATCAAAAACAGTACCTGCAATATGTATCATTTTTAGGACATTAATCCCGAAAAATAATGAACCATTTTCGCGATAATGTCCCAACAGTGACACAAACCGCAACATAACATACTAATTAGAGAAAAAAGTTAGTGTACCAAAAAAGAATTTTAGACAAATAATCAGACCGAAATTGTATTTTTGTCGATCAAAAGCAGACGGCCAAAATAGAATCAATCATGTCGTATAAATCATATATATCCTATCAAGTATACATGCCAATCATATACACCAGCTGCTGTGTATTCGCAAAGTAGAATACAAGATCATACCCCAAATTACATCAAAAGCGATAAATCATGAACAGAAATCACTCAAAACACATGCAGTAGAAATGAATATGTCGATCGATCCCCATCAGCCAAAACCCATAAAACGAACCCCCCAACAAAAAAACATGAACAAAATAAATTCCCACCCACCCACCTTTCCTCCAAAACAATCTCTCTTTCAAAAAAAAGAAAAAAAAAAAGCAAGAAATTTAATTGAAATGAGTCAATCAGGTATCTGGTAATCCTCCGGCACGACGAAGGTATCGGGATCCTCGTCCTGTATCCACCCGTACTTCTCCAAGAAGGGGTTAGCCAGGTTCTTAACCGGATACCTGTCTATGAAGTCCCCCCACACGTTCCCCTCACCTTCCAAATCCCTCATCACCTCCCACAGACAGCTGTTGCACTTGAAACCCGCCCCGAAACTTATCATGAACACCTTGTCCCCCTTCCTCAGCCTCCTCTTCGCCTCCATGTACCCCAGCACGTACCACAAGCTGCTCGCCGACGTGTTCCCGAACCTATGCAGCGTCATCCTCGCTGGCTCCACGTCGTACTCCGTCAGCCCCAGGTTCTGCCCTATCGCATCTATCACCGCCTTCCCACCCGTGTGCAGGCAAAAGTGATCCACTCCCGACTTGAAATTGATCGCTGGCCGCCCCGCTGAGGCTGCTGCCTTGTTCCAGGACTGTCGAACCCTCCGCACGAGCATGGCCGCCGCGAAGCGGGCGAGCTCCCGCACGGGAAGTATCTTCGGGGCCATCACTTTGAGGTTGTCGACGAACGCGCACGTGGCGGCCTTGGGCAGGTTCTTGCCGAGGTGAAACCCGACCAGCCCCCTCTCGTCCTCCTTCTGTATGCAGCAGTTGTAGGACTCCTCGTTGGCACCGTGGTGGGTCCGCACGAGGCACTTGAGCCGCATCATGGCGCGCCCGCGGAGGGACGGGTCGTTGGTGAAGATGGCCGCACAGCCGCCCGCTCGGAAGAGGCAGTTGGCGAGGATCATGGAGCGGTCGTTGCCGTTGTACCAGCTGAGGCTGAGGGACTCGGAGGTGACCATGAGGACGCGCGTGCGCCGCCTTTCAGACGACTTGAACACGCTTTGCAGGATGTTGATGGAGATGAGGCTGGCGCTGCAGCCCATGCCGGTGAGGTTGTACACCTTGACGTCCTCGCGGAGCTTGTACATGTTCACGATGCGGGACGCGAGGGAAGGGAGAGTGGCCATCATGGAGATGTTGACGACGAGGACGTCGATCTCGGAAGGGCGGATTTGGGTTCGGGAGAAGAGGGCGGAAATTGAAGTTGAAAAGAACTCATCCATTTCTTGGAGGCCGTCGGGGAGAGTTGGGGAGGACTCGCGGCCTTCGAAGACCATCCGCGGGGCGTAGGTCTCCTCGCCAATGCCTGAGCTGACAATGGCCTTGAGGAGGAACTTATACTCGTGGAGGCCCAAGTGCTTGTTGCGGCGGATAATTTCTCCGGAGAATTTGGTACTGAGCTTGCGGTCGGGAGTCGGCATGTAGCACTCGTAGTCCAAGAGGTAGCATTGCTGGTGCCGCCGCCGGTCGAGGGCGAGATATAGGATGTACAAGAGGGGAATGAGTGGGAGGAGATAGAGGCATGTTGAATGAGATATTAGATCCATGTTTCTTTTTTTTTTTTATGAAGATTTTTTTTAAGGGAAGAAAAGTGCAATTCAAGGGGCTGAGGAGAAAAGAAATGAAATGAAAGGTTACATATATATGAATAAATTAATTTAAAGCAAATTAAGCAATTTGAAAAGGGTGTCAAGTTGGAGACATGTGACATATGAGGGGTCTTTAAAAACACACTAATGGCGATCGAACTCTCAACGCCCAACAACTCAAGTCCGCATCACCGTGACTTTTCCTAACTATAATTTTCACTTTCATCAGCTCTGTGAATGTGAGGAAACCCATTAAGATTTTGGCTTCTTCATCAACATAATAATACATCAACATAATAATGCACGCATCTTTACTCCACATATTATTATATGGAAGCGTGTGAATGTTGATTATTTCTGATGATGAATTGAATAAGTGGACTGATTCTCTCTCTAGCTACTTTCTGCGAAATTTATAAATAAATAAATACTAATATGTATGATTTTCTTTTCGCTATGTTTGGTATACATACAACATAGCTTATATCCAGATACCCTTCATTCATATTTGTGTAGTCGGTCCTACCTCTTGGTGCATCCGCTCTCCCGTGACGTTGATTTTGCCTAGACTCATTCCGGTCCAGGAGACGTTATTTTTGTGTTACTTGCAACTGTTGCCAGCATTTCGTTTTTGGTTTTGCCTTTCGTTTGACTTGATGTATTTCAGACATTGGATTTGTAGATTTGTGATATTTCAGTCCATTTAGGGTCTCATATATACATGTTGGGGGTCCGGCCTAACACTCACCTTCTTGGTTTTTTTTTTATTTTTTTTTAAAAAGGCTAGCTTATATCTTATTTGCTTAGCTTATAAGCTTCTTGTATTTAAATAAGCTTCATCTGGTAGGACAAGTTTTTTTAAAAAACTCGAGCTTATCTCATAAGATTGTTTAGGTAGCTTTTCAGATAAACTCGTTGAAATTTTTATTTCAGTTAGCTTATCAGCTAATTTTACCAAACACTATTATCATATAAGCTATCTTTTCATCTATAAGTCATAAGCTATAAACTATAAGCTCTACATGAAACTTATAAGTTAACCAAATAAACTATAAACTAGCTTATTTGGCTTATTAAACATAGTCTAATAAACTATAAGCTAGTTTATCAGCTAATTTTGCCAAACATAACTAAAATATTTTAACTTTTATGATTGAAATTACAATCTATTCCTAATTTTGTTAATTTGTTTACTAGATATCAATCAACACCATATAAAGGCGTTTGGTTTTCATTTGGTGAAAGAAAATACATGCAAGGCGACATTAAAACCGACCAAAAGATAGAAGAGGAAAAAATTCCAGGTTAATATTATTCAAATAGGGTGTCTTGATTCGAGCTAGTAATATTTTATGTTTATCCGCTTTCTTTTCTTGGTTGGTTACCGTTCATGTAAACTTTTTGTATGGGTGAGTTAATGCATATATAAACGGACAGCAACTAATTTTTACAGGAATAAAGAGGCCGCATTTATGATATCCGAAGCCTAACTCATTTGTGTAGAGAAGTGGTTGGAATATAATTGACTACAAAACTAAACGCAACAAGTATATATGTTGTCTCGTTTTGAAAATATATATATATATATATACATATATATATATATATTTATATATATGTTGTCACGACCATTTTTGGGTCCCCATGACCTCAAATTAGGTTTATGGCCCATACTTCTACTCATGTACAAATAGGAATTTTATTTTTATTTTTTTTATTTTTTGTGTCAAACCGTAGAATTTCAATAAAAAACACAGAATTACATACTATAAAACAACTAAACAGCCGAACAAATCAGCCATTCAGGTTAATGTAGTTGGGAGGACGGGCTCCATATACAAAGGTTCAAGTCAGTCTAGAACCAACCTAAACACACAACTACACTAAATAAAACAAATTAAGGCTCCAAACAGAAGACGAAGAAGAACAACTCTCA